ACACACACACACACAGAGTCATAGAATAGAATCATGGAATCATAGAATCATAGAGTTGGAAGAGACCACAAGGGCCATCGAGTCCAACCCCCTGCCAAGCAGGAAACACCATCAGAGCACTCCTGACATATGGTTGTCAAGCCTCTGCTTAAAGACCTCCAAAGAAGGAGACTCCACCACACTCCTTGGCAGCAAATTCCACTGTCGAACAGCTCTTACTGTCAGGAAGTTCTTCCTAATGTTTAGGTGGAATCTTCTTTCTTGTAGTTTGGATCCATTGCTCCGTGTCTGCTTCTCTGGAGCAGCAGAAAACAACCTTTCTCCCTCCTCTATGTGACATCCTTTTATATATTTGAACATGGCTATCATATCACCCCTTAACCTCCTCTTCTCCAGGCTAAACATGCCCAGCTCTCTTAGCCGTTCCTCATAAGGCATCGTTTCCAGGCCTTTGACCATTTTGGTTGCCCTCCTCTGGACACGTTCCAGTTTGTCAGTGTCCTTCTTGAACTGTGGTGCCCAGAACTGGACACAGTACTCCAGGTGAGGTCTGACCAGAGCAGAATACAGTGGCACTATTACAGAGCAGAATACCAGAGCAGAATACAGAGCAGAATACAGTGGCACAGAGAGACAGACACGTTTAGCCTCTCCTTTATCAGATACAATATCAGAGGTACAATAAAATAAAAATGTTAAAAACATTCCTATCAACATAGGAAAAAGGAGAAAATAAAATCATAACCCATTTGCTATGCTGGCTGGGTCTGATGGGAGTTGTAGTCCAATATCTTTTATATGGCCACAGGTAGGTAGGTAGGTTAGTTAGTTATGCTTTTAATTATGTTTATGTATTTTTATTCCTGTATTCATTTTTTGTTTTGTTTTTAATAGCTTTGGAACTTTTGGTAGTGAGAAGTGATGCATAGATAAACTAATGGTTGCTGGGTTTACTGTATTCCTTTTTATGACCATCTTAAGATGTGCTTGCTAACACTGATGCACAATATGTGGAATGCCCATGCATATAGGGAAAAGACTGGACTTCCAGAAGTAAATTCTACAGGTTTCAGTGCAGTTTACTTTGCCCACTACTCACATGGTGAAAAGCTTGTTGAGACCTGAATGGTGGTGATGGAACAGCCACATTTCTCATTTCCATATCTGTCCCATTCACGTTAAGGTAGACACCAAGGTCTACTTTTAATATCAAAAGAACCACGAGTGAATGAGCCGAATCACACCTTACCTCCCTTCTTCATCTTCTTATCTCCATTCATCTTCCTCCCAGTTTCATCTTTTTCCAACAAGGCAAGCTGGGGAGAAAAGTACCTGGAGGAGGAAGAGGGAGAATGTGAATACTAGGTTAAGTGACAGTTGTTCAGCTCCACTCATCTGTTCAGTCACTCTCACTCACCCTTCAAAAGTAAAAAATAAATAAAAAAAATACTTAGAATATGAAATAGCTTACACAAGATGTTACCCTATATAGATATCTTTTGCCTTAAGATATTCTAAAAGAGACCAGATTTCTAGTAGTGGTTAATAGTAAAAATGTAGAGACATTTCCTTGCAAGAAGCATTGGGATGGGATTATAGGGATGATCCCTGGAGAGCAGAATGAGGAAGCTGGTCCATATTTTCAGTTTTGTCTTCTGACTTCATAGTATTGGCAAGATTATAAATGTCCCACAAAGATTGAGGGAGCAGCAAAATTCACTTAGTGCTACTGCAAATACATACAGTATACAAGACCTAGGGCCTAGTTACACCTACCTTTTGCCCCACTCTTTCCAGCTAGAGACCTGTGCTTTAATGCTCTTGTATCAGAGTGGCCCTTTTTTTCTTTCCCCACAAAAACCAACTCTTTAAAGCTGAATCAGAGCAAACGTATATTTGGGTTTTCTGCAGATTGACATTTGGTCTGATTGAGATTTAAAGAGTGGGTTTTCACAGGGTAGGCTCTCGAGTAATAAAACCCCCAAAACCTGGTGCTTGGACAGGGAGCTTTAAATCACCAACCATGCCTGGAAAGAGCAAAGAAAAGTGTGAATAAGCCCCAAAACTAGTCAGATACCCCTTCTTTTTCTTTCCTGGCTCACAACTGATCCCCCCCAATGCAACCATTTCTAAAAACCTTTCATTCCTACTCACATTACACGAGGAGCCTGACTGACTGAAGTTGCTTCAGCAGAAAATGTTGTCATAACTGCTAATTCATTCAAAGCTATGTTAATGCTTGTCCTGATATACTGAACTCAGACTTATTTTATGCTTTCAGAAGTGGGAGTAGTAGTAGCAAAGTGTTTCTTCTGTTTTTGTCTCCAGAGGCCTACAGGAAATCTAGGTAGCAGAACCAATGCAAATATCATAAAATACAGTATGTAAGATATGTTTATGTGGTTGCCACCTAGTGACCAAAGGGCAAAAGTGTTTCTTTGAGGAAAAAAGTTGGAACTGCACACCCTCAAGGCTCCCCCCCCCTTTTTCTGGGGAATGGTTCCAAGATGGATGCCAGACTGATAGCGGTACCTCAGAAGCCAAGAAATAAAACCAGTTATTGTTCATTTCTAGTGTATTTCTTCATCTTCATGTATTTAGTGTAGCCTAAATACATTAAAGTACAAATAGTCAAAAGAACCAAAAAGCACTAATACAAAACATCAAATGCAATGACATTTAAAGGAGCAGTAGTCAGGGGGTGGGGTGGGAGAGAAATCAATTTAAAGGCCACCGAAAGAATTGTCTTCAGTTTCTAGCGAGAGGCACTGAAGATGGCGACTGATGGATCTTGATCAGGAGGAAATGGAGGCGTTAAAGCTTTCCCTTGACAAATACGAACACCCTGTACTTACAGGAATGCACATCCCATTCTTTAAATTCTGATAAAATTAAATATCATTCCTCACACTTTACACAGAGATACAGGTGCAAACAGGTACCAGGCCTAATACATTTTTATTCACTAAGGCCTTTGGTAACTTAGCTGGCCTCTGTAAAATGGTGCCCACCATTTTCTGGGATAGGGACTTGGATTATTGAACATTTTTGGGATTCTGTATTATTATTATTATTATTATTATTATTATTATTATG